GTTAGCTAATCAATATTTTTTTATTTATACCAAAAACATAAGAGAAAAGATAGCACAAGGATTAAACACCTTAGATTATATGACTGATAAGATTAAAAATAGTAGCATGACAGTATTGCTTATTCTGCTTGTCTCCTGTAGAACTTTAAACATTCCATTCTTCCATATGATCTGTCCTCTTTCCCAAACCTGTTAGTACTTCTCAGACGCTAAGCATTCTCCGCATTCATTGGGCACTATAGGTGTTTTCTTGCTTTAAGAGTTCAGCATTGTGCTATTTCCTTATTGTTTTACACTTTATTCCCAATTATAAATTTTAGAGTTCTGATAAAGGATATTTTTGAAGTCTATCCATAGCTAATATACAGCTCATCTCATTGGGACAAAAAAAGTTCATATAGCAGTTTAAATAGCTACTAAGGATGTACACAAACTATTCCTACTCTTCCTATATGCGCTTAGCTGACTTGCCCTTACTCTGTATTGTTTCTGTTGAACCAAGCAGAAAACAAAAGACAAAGCAAAACAAAACAAAAGAATACATGAGAATATTTGTGAAGTAGAGCACAAAAGGAGCTCAACAAGATTAGGATGTTTTCTCCTTCAGTAGTGAAGGTGCTCATGGGTCCTTGTGTTGTCATAGTCAGAAAAATGGTCAAACGAGCTTCAGGCAAAAGAAAAACATAAGAGAAAAAAAGTTTTTTTTGGTGGGGGAGAGATGGATTCAATGTTCTCTGTAATTGTCCCTTGGGAAATAGCATTCCAGTTTAAAAGCTTTTAATCGTGTAAAACAGTGACACGAGTAAACTGATATGCATGGAATTAGCTTCTGGTCTAAAGCCTATTGATAAGCAAATTCCCTTATTTGTTTGTTTGTTTGCTTACCATAAGATTTCAAAGAGAGAGGTGGCATCTCTATTTTAAATTTTAAACGATATAATTAAAATATTTTTTATTTCAATACAGTGATGCTTGTATAATATAAAGATTATTGACATTCTATTATTTAGATAGCTTAGAATCTTGAAAATAGAGAGAGAAAATAAATACAATAAATACCATAATAGTTAATTTTTTCTATCTGTAGATAGAAAAGTTTGGTAGATATATAGTTAAACAATTCATAGAATTCAAAGATCTAAGACTCAGTTATTTAGTTCTTAGCCTTTTCATAAGATAATGATAGTCTTCAAATTATAACCATTCTTTCAGCAACCATTCAAAGATACGAAGGCACTGAAGAAGGATTTTTCTGATCAGTCCTTAACAAGCTGGCTGATGTAGCTGCCCTGTAATCATGTGATAAAATTTGGGTGCTTAGCAACCATCTCCCAATTTCGACTGATTGTAATATTCTGCAGTCATGTGATTGCCGTTTGTGACCTTCCCTTCTGGCTATGATGAATTACAGTAACATATCAGTTTCCATCAATGAGGGAGCGCATTCCAAGGAGCGGGCGAGATGAGACAGCGTAGGTGGATCATTGGAGGAGAAAGAAATTAATGATTGAATCTCCCAGGGTATATCCATTAGGCTAGTATAGCTTTAGTCTGGCAAGATTCTGTCTATACAGTATATGAAAATAAAGAATAATGTAAACTTTGGTTACATTATTTTACACCTTTGGGGGCTAGGCTTAACACTGGCTTCCCATTGACTGCTTGTGCAAAGCTGGCACAGTTGTAAATCAGGCTCTTGAGTATGTCCCCCCATCTCCTATCAGCCTTCACAGATAAACTTGACAAGAAACGGCACTAGATGAACTAATTCAACTTTATTGTGAGGCTACAACAGAATCTTGCAAGTCTGAAGGCATAGACTTCCTGTAGTCACTTTTAACTGCTTGATCCACTTGGGTGGGTCCTTCCTAAATTTCTTTCTCTAGTTGTTAAGCCACTGGGGGGCTGTTTCTCTTGTTCATTTCCTAACCACCATCTTCCCATCACATATTCCATTACCTCAATGGCACTTCCTTTACTTGTACATGCTATGCCTTCCTCCCTTCACTCCCATGTGCCATGTACATGCTGTGCCTTTCCATCTTCGCTGATAACACATTCACAACATCCTCCTTTCCCAACTCACCGATGCATCCTCCCACCAGCGCCCTTCTTCCTTGAATCTCCCTGCATTCACATATATGCATGTAACAATCAGTGTTCCTAAGCCTCCAAGCATTCACCAACATGCATGCATCAACCAATGCCCTCTTTCCCTGGGTTTTCCTACATTTGCATACACTCCGTGCCCTCTTTCTGTCTGCACTTACACTCATGCACTCATCAGTGCTATCCTTCCCAGACCTTCCTAAACTTGCACACACTTCTTCCCAGGCCTTCCTATAGGCTCATATTGCACTGTCCAGGCCCTCAACTCAGATATGGCCTCCTCAGTCCCAATGCTACTGTCACAGAGAAATTCTACTTAAAACTCCACATCACAAGTCTTTACTGCCTCATCACTGTTCTCTAAGCCACACATCCCATTCCTTCTCCAAACCATGTGTCCCCATCTAATGATTCTGGTCTTCCCCAGGTCTCCTGAGAATAGAAGTACTGTTTGGAGAATAGCAGGAGCCCCATTTTCATGGTCCTTTGAAAGGCTTCCTTCTTCAAATTGTGTGCACCATTCCTTCTCCAGATAGTGTGCTCCTTCTTGCGAGACCTGGGGAAAACCAGAGCCTTTCCAATGGATAGTAAGAATGGGATGTGTAGCTTGGGAAGGAATAGGATTTGTGGCTTGAGAATAATGTGAGGTAGCAAAAACCAACAGCGTGCAGCTTGAACAGTATTTCTCAGTGGCAATGGCGATGACACTGAGTCTGAACCTTGGTGGATGACATTGCTAGAGTTCCTGGGCCTCTGCTTCAGCCCCAAGCCTTCTATTGCTCCCAACAGCTGCCAAAAGGCCATAAATCTGGGGGGCATAAGTGGGTGGGGGTTTGTAATGCTCCTCCTGACATAAGTGATGCTGGGCCAGGTGGGGCAGCTAAGGCTTCTGAGGACAATTGCAGCTTTCTGCTACATTGCAGCACCCCAACATGTATGCAATCTGTACTGGACACTCCAGGGCCTCCCTATATCACCCCTGTGCTCTTTATCTGGAACTCCCGCTGCTTAATAACTGAAAATTTTGGATGTTTCTTGTCAGAAACCAGCAAAAAAGCTAACAAATTGTGATCATGTAAGCGCAGGATGCTGCAACCAGTCTAAACCTGATTTACCTGATTGCGCCTTAATTGCAATCATGTGACTATAGAGGTGATGCAGTGGTCATAAGTGTGAGTAAAAGTCATAAAGCACTTTTTTCAAGGCTGTCCTAACTTCAAACTGTTGTTAAACAAACATCGGTAAGTCAAAAACTACCTATAGTAACACTTAAAAGTACATTACTTAGGGGTTCCAATCAATCAGATAAGAGAATAAATATCTATGGAGAGCTTGCAGAATAAGAAGCACTGAATACTGTTCTGAATACATGTAAAAAAAATCAGGTAGGTTCACAAGCTCCATAATAACTTAAATAACCCATGATAAAACTAAAAAAAGAAAACTCTGCTCATTATTTCTGCATCATAGTGTGTAGGCAAGAAATTGAGAGACTAAATAAAGGGAATTATTTCAGTAAAAACCCTTATAAAACAGCTGGTTTATGCTCAGGGATTTTTTCTTTACGCATGAAAACTGATGCTCAGGAATGTATTTTACAGGCTTCCATTAGAGTTTGTATGTGTGGGAGTTCAGCACATAAATGAGTTGAAGCTGATAATTGCCTCATTTGTATTGCTAACCTAGCTTTCCACAGTTGGTTGCTTCATGCTCAAAATTGCCCCCATTGGGATTAAACATTACGTTTAAAATAAACACGTCCAGCTCTTTTTCCTTACATAATGCATTCATTTAATGAATGTGTTTTCCTCTACTGTAACTTTCTTTTGTATAAGCCAAATTTATCCTGAAAGCTAAAGCAATAAATATTTTTTAAAAATAATGTTAGGAAATTTGCATTATTGCATTAAAACATTTTTGATGTATGTGGAATTCCTAGAGCTGGATGGGTTTATTTTTAACATGCGTTTTTAATAATATGGAGATAACTAATTCTTCACTTTTGAGTATAACACAACATGCTGAAAGTGCAGTAGTGTATCATAGATGCTTTACTATTATTTGGTATATTTCTAATTATTCTGAAGTTATGTAATGTTACTAGTTGACAAAATATTTTTACGTGGTTGCTTCCATTACATTTATTACTAATTGTGTTGGAGATTTGATTGAGAAAAATGTGGTTTGCTTATGGCTTTTTGATATATATGAGGGCCACCCATTATGACTTAATATTATGCACAAAATCTTGACTCTGTAGAGATTCCACTGCAATTGGAACATACCTTCTTGCTATAATTTTATTTTTAAAATATTTTAGCAATTTTCTGGAAGTTTCATAGTGTCATTTTTCTGATTAGGCATGCTAAATAGACCATATTTGTATTTGTTTCTAATAGACATTTTAAACAGACCATAATTAAGCTTTTTGCAGGATACCTTTACAAGGCTATCTTTGACTTTTTTATTCAGTGATTTTAACACATTTCTTTTAATTGTTCCAGGTTTGTACTAATAAAGTTCTTTCCAAAATAAATTGCATCTCTTTCTATATTTCTTTTTGTTTCCTGCCAATTTCTTTGAGATTTTTCTGGCTACCTATGTTTTAAAAATATATTCCCCATTTGTTCCAGGATAGCTTTTCACTCTGACCTGCTACTGCTAATTTAAATTGGACACAAGCTAATTAGTTTTCCATTGTAATTCCACTTTTTCAACATTGGTTTTGGAAATAATGTTCACATTTTTATCTATCTAATGGAATCTAGGTAGGGTTCTGTGTAAGCCCCATCCATTAGCATTTTTATAATCTGCTTTTGTTTGTATAGGAAGATTCTTTATTTGAATTATTTTATGTGATCTTACTTAAACAGTTGTATTTCTACATGTAGGTTGCTATACTTGCTTCAGCAAGAAAACTCCAGCACTGAGCTGAAAACAGAATGTGCAGTAGTTCTAGGAAGCCTTGCAATGGGTACAGAAAATAATGTTAAATCTCTACTGGACTGCCATATCATACCAGTCTTATTGCAAGGTACCTACATTTTCATTATTTCATTCGTTTTTTGAGTACACAGTTTGTGAGAACTGAAAAATAATCTAAACTTGTATTTACAGGGTTACTATCACCAGATCTTAAATTCATTGAAGCTTGCCTCAGGTGTCTTCGTACTATTTTCACCAGCCCTGTCACTCCTGAAGAATTATTGTATTCAGTAAGTTACAGCAATAATTTATCTTTTGAATCTGTGTAAAGTTTTATTTCATGCATGTTTCTGGGAGAATTTAGAATATTTGAAATTAAAACCATTGCCATTTATCCAAGCTAAAAACTCATTATAACTCACATGACAAAATATGTTGGTGTCAGAATTGACTTCACAAAATAATTGGAATTTATAGTGTTCATTGGCATGCTTATAGCATGCAAGTTTGAGTTTGTATATTGCATTCCAAGATATAAAGGCAAATTAATCTTTTTTTTGAGAATCATATGCTGTTACTATCATCTATTGTGTGAAAAGCAAACACAACTTTATTGTATTTCCTACTTGAGAAATATGTGAATAATATTCATTATATTGATTTGAGTGGGGACTGATGGTTTTAATAGTGAAATGAACATACTTTTAGAATAATCCACAAGCTATGGAAGTAATATTAGAATTATTGTACATTTTATTACTTTGCAGGAGACTTTCATTGTCCTTAAGTATAAAGTAATCATTTTCATCAGCTGATTACCTGGGCTATGTAGGAAAGTGTCCCACATGTGGCTTTCAAGATGGTCCTCAGCCTTACACTACAAAATATTCCCAATGTCTTAAATATTTAGCAGTTTATATTGCTTATTTTGTACTCCAAGTATATGCTATTAGTCTTGTATTTCTTAAGAATTTCCCTTTACCTCCACCTTCCCACTCTCAGCTGTTGCCAATGTTCCAAGCAGCATACCCCTACCTGGCCATTTATCTCCTGATCTCCCCTGGACCTCCCATTTTTCTTTCTTCTGCCCCAATGCACTTGGCTTTTCTCGCTTCTCCCCTCCTATTTTCCTGGAACAAAGGATCCTGTTTCCTTCCATGTATGAACTTGAAACTCTGTTTCCTATGCTGAGTGGTTCATGCATGGAACAATTTGCTCATCTTTTAATTACTATAGTCATTGGTGGGCTGTGATTGGCTTTCTGGGTTACTGACTTTGTAACTTGAATAGATTCTGAAAATAATCTAGTTTTGTTATTTTGTATTAAGGTTTTATAAATTCTTTGTTTTCTGAAAAGCCACCATGATAAATGAGCAATGAAAATTGAGATTAAGCTCCTTAGAGCAAAAATTCATAATGCATTACGTATATCAATGAGATGACATTTAATAGAAATTGTCCAGACAAGTATTAATAATCTAAATTTTTAACTGGTCTACCAATTTCTGTTTCCATATATTTCTAAGCAATGCAGAAAATATATAAAAGCCATTCTAAAAGAAGGTTGAAAATATCAGTACTCAAGGTATCCTGTGATGCTAGTTAGATTATGTTCTTAAATTGCCAGAACTCTACAATCTTTGTAAATAAATCTTTGTTTATATTGTGTGTAAATTAATAGTAAACTTTGCAGTTCTCAAACTGCTTCCTTCTGAACCACAATATAGAATAAAATTTTGTGCCAAGTCCACAAAGTAGATTTATCTGTAATTTTTTTTTGTATTAAAATGCTTTGTTTAACTTTTTTGACTTTTTAAGGATGCTACAGTTATTCCCCACCTCATGGCGCTGCTTAGTAGGTCTCGATATACTCAAGAATATATATGTCAGATCTTCTCACATTGCTGCAAAGTAAGAAATGTAATGAATGTTCTTTCCATATGCATATGTTTATTTGCTTCTGAAGTATTGTTTTCCAAGTGTTTTAAATAATTTTTCTCTTCAATTCATTGTGTTACTCTCAAACATAATCTCTAATTGGCGTGTATACGATATACTTGAGGCTATCCTGAATTTCTTAACTCTCGAAGCATTATGTACTTGTTCCTCGTTCTGTGAGTTTGGCACTAAGGTTGTAAATATAAGCAACAACTTTCCTTTAAAAAAATTATAAATATTTTATAGAATAATATAATTCCAGTACAACAGAGTAAATTGCTATATTCACCCTGATCCTTCCTCTTCCCTCCTAGAAGATTGATGAAAGCTTTGATATGGTGTTCTGTAGATGTGGTCCATGGATGAATTTGTCAAGGTTTATAGAAATGATGCTTTACAAAATTCATTAACAGGTTCAGAAATTCAGTCTCTTGAATTGAAATCTTTTCAAATCTGCAGCCCTATATACATTCTAGAAGAAACATTAATAGAATCACAGTTTTCAAGAAAGGCAGACAAGAACAGAGTATTCAGATAGTGGTTTCATAGCTGAAATCTTAAATGGTATCATTGAATGTTCTATATATGTAGAGAGAGAGAATGTATACATAGAGGGGGGTTATCAGGTTCTTAAACGGTTTTTGGCATTTGGCCTCTGTACACCATCACATTGAATTTCAAATGAAACTCAATATGTGAATGAAGTGAAGTTTTTCAGTTTTAATTCAAAGGGTATGGCAAAAGTATGGCATTAACCATTGAGATTTTGTCTTCAATAAATGAACAGCATGCTCTATTAGATTGAGCTAGGGTAACTGACTTGGCCAGTGAAGAATATCCCATTTCTTTGCCTTGAGAAACTCTTGGATTGCTTTTAGGTCATTGCATGTTTTAGGTCATTATCCATCTGCAATATAAAGTGGTGATCTATCAGTTTTGCAGTATTTGACGGAATCTGAGCAGAGAGCATAGCCTTATGCCAGCGATGGCTAAACTTTTTGGCATCGAGTGCCCAAAGCTCACATGTGCATCCCCCAAAAACAATACATGTGTGTCCCCTGTACATGCACCCCCCATGCATGTGCTTTGCCCCCACGCATCTGCCCCATCCCTGCGCATGCTTGTGTGTCCCCTGCGCATGCGCCTCAGCCCCGTGCTTGTCTGCGTGTCCCCTATGCATGAACAGCAAAGATCCAAAGATCAGCTGGCTGGCGGGAGGTGCACACACGCATGCATGGCGGAGCTAAGATGGAGCTATGGCTCACGTGCCCTCAGAGAAGGCTCTGTGTGCCACCTCTGGCACGTGTGCTATAGGTTCGCCATCATGGCCCGATGCAGTACAGAATTCTTCCTGCTTCTTTCATCAGCAGTCAGATCATCAATAAACACCTTTGGTAGTCACATATACCCATGCCATAACAGTGCTGCCACCATGTTTGACAGATCATCTGGTATGTTTCGGATTATGAGCTTCTCTTTCTCCCCCCCTCCCAATTTGTGTCTGTGTGATCCACAATTTGGAAGCAAATGAAAAATTGATATTTTAATAATACAGGTAATTGCTTAGTGCACATTAAAAAATTTGAAAAAGAAAGATAGTATCATACTTGGCTTTAGTTTTATATTTTTTAAAAAATATAAATATTAAAAAATTTGAAAAAGAAAGATAGTATAATACTTGGCTTTAGTTTTATATTTTTTAATATCTGTTCTTCAGCTCCGACACTGGCATAGCTGCAGCTTTAAATCCTCACCTCAGCCACTTCTGTGTGCCAATGTAAGTTTTTTCCCCCTACAATGATTGCATTTTTAAATTAAGAAATTTGTCTGTGTCAACAGTCCAAATTATTTTCAGATGTTGTTATGCTGGTTAAATGTAGCTTAATACCTTGTTTTTACTTGAATCAGGATATATGTACACATTTTATTAGCGCAGACTAACATTTTAGAGCACTTCTCTGATTTGAAGTTAATATAAAAACGAGAGGATTAAAGTGTATTAGCAGAAAATTTTGAAACATTTAATAATAAACTGAAGAGAATCTGTGGTATGAGTATCAAAATATGCTGTAAACCCCCCCCCCCCCCCCCCAAAAACCCCATGAAGTTCAAACAGAGATTTTTCAACTTTCATCTTTGTACAGCTAGCCAAAATAAAAAGTTAAGGGTTTTAAATTGAGCAAAGTAAACAAGGTGCTCTACATTATAATTGGTTCATAATAAAGATAATGTATTATATTTCATTGTTAAACCTGGCATCATATTAGAAGAGAAAAGAAAGTGATACCTGTTTGTTCACTAGCTAAAGGAAAGCACCTTGAGCAAAAAGACCTAGGCAGTAAAGTCTGGCATGTGTTATCTCATTAGTTAATAAGATAGTACTAAAATGTATTAATCTTTTTTGTTGATGTTGGTGACATTAATTAGAAACAGTGATTTGTTAGATACTTTTCTAGTCTTAACATTATCAAGATGATTCTGAAATTACTTTGATAAAAAGATGAGAATAAAGTTTTGGGTAGGTTTTATATGTTAATATTTGATTAGCTCTAATTTGGTCCATGTAATCCTCATTTATGAACATTCATTTAATGTCTGAAGTTATGATGGTGTTGAAAAAAGTGAAATATAATCAGTACTCACACTTACAACCATCACAGTATTCCCTCAGTTACATGATCAAAATTTGGGCGCTTGAGAATCAGCTTACAATTACAATTGCAGCGTCCCATGGTCATATGATTGCCATTTGTGGCCTTCTTAGAGAGCTTCCAACAAGCAAATTCAATTTGGGAAACTGGATTTATTTAACAATTATGTGATTCACTTAATGACTTCAATATTTCCTTAACGACCAAGACAAAAAAGGTAACACTGGGTGCAACTCACTTAACAACCACAATACTGCTCTCACTTGTCAGTTCATGGCTAACAGTATAGCCTTTATTACTCACATACAGTAGAATTTGGATAACAGAATACCTTTACCTTTATTGTCATTGCATTCAAAATACAATGAAATTTGAAAGCTACTACAGCACAGTGCCCCAAACACCACATCACAATCACACTACAGAGTATTTAAAAATTAAAATAATTAAAGTAATAATAATAATAATTAAAAACCTAGTCTAAAACCTATTTAAAACATATATTAAGTTAGATAGTTTAAAAATGCCACTTTATACATAGGACTAAATCACAAATGTACTGTTTGATTCAAGATAATTATTGCCTTGGAAAAGAAACTGTTTCTCAGTCTATTAGTCCTCATTTTAAGACACCTATAACATCTCCCTGATGGTAACAATTCGAAATATGAATGACCAGGATGAGAACAGTCTGTGGAGATTTTTAGTGCTCTAGAGAGGAGTCTGGTCTTCACAATCTCTTCCAAAGAAGAAAGAGAGCAATCGATGATTTTTTGTGCTGTGTTTATAACTCTCTGGAGCATCATCTTATCCACTACAGAGCATCTAGCATAACACACAGTTACACAGTATGCCAAAATGTATGCATAGTTATAGGGAAAGGTTTTTTATGTGATTAGGACACAAATGTTTTTGTCCCTTCATAAAGAATTAACATTCAAGTCTGATAAATTCAGTAATTTGGAGCCAAGAGATCAAACTATCATCAGGAAATTCAGATGAGAAAAACTGGCATCTCAGAAAAAATATTCAAAGGAACATCTTTAAAAAAAAAAAACTTATTGGAATTGCATTTCTTTTGGTTTATTATCTTTTTTTATAGTTAAAGATACAGTTAAAGATATATAGTTAAAGAATGAAAAAATATAGTAACAAATTAAAGATACCTAGTATCCTAAGTTTTTCACATGCCATTTTGGGTTCTTTTTGCTTTTTTACTTTTGTTTTAAAACCTTTTAATATTAGCTACTTTAAGTATTTTGATGTTAATCAGGAATGCTTTAAAAAAACAAAAATATGGAAAAATAAGTTTCACACTTCTTATCCATCTACTTATCATTAGTTTTATCATTTCTTTAAATCTTCTTCCCATTTCCCCCCATGATATCCATCTAAAGTGAGTTGGGTTGAAAGAGAATAACTGGCCCAATGTTTCCAGGTAGCTCATGTGGCTCAGGTTAGACTTGAACTTGTATCAATCTAGTACTAGTCCAATTCCTTAACCATTACGCCCAACTGGCCACTACTGGACCATCAGTTAAAAATCTCTTTCCCTTGGCACTCCCCAAAGTTGCTGTGGTCCAGATTGTGCATCCTTAGCCTTATGCTTTCTTCTGCACACTTTTTTTTCAGTCAACAGCCAAATGTTACTGAAAATACTAAAGTGTATTGAAATAAGCTTCTTCTGAGGTTGTATCAATTGCTACCCTATACGAACCTTTCTTATTGCATCTTATAGCCATGCAAGATGTTTATGTTATGCAAAATGCTTAATAATGTTCTATTCCAATAGCATTGACATTTGGTGATCATAGACAGCTGCAATTTTTTATTTGAGATTTATTTTTCATGTTTCAATTGTTCAGTATCATTCACGAGAATCTCATTTCTATAAAAAAAAATAGGAACTTCCACTTTAAATATGAATACAAGTGTTTTTTATAAAGGGTGTTTAAAAGCACATATAAAATAGCCAAAAATAGTTACAAACACAAATACAATACAAATCCAACATTTATATTGCAATTGGTATAATTCCTTCTTGAGATATATGAAACACACTTGGATTTTTCGTTTTAAAATGTATAAATATGCTTCTCCAAGATCTTCCTTATTTCCTACTCGTAAAATATATAATTCCCCCCAGATGATGTGGGCTTTTTTCATTTTAAAATTTGATTTTTTTGGCAACATATAGTTAATATTCTAAAGAGAGATGCTAAGGGAAACCCACTGTTACCATTTTTTACAACATGAACCTTGTCTTTATGTTGTTACTCCCCCCCCCCCCCCCCCCCCCCAAAATAGCAACTTCTTCCCTAGTGCTACAATTTTTTGCAGAAAGTACTACTTGCAAGTTTGGTGATGCTTCTCTTCCAAGTCCTACTTGAAGGGAAGAACTATTTTTCTCTAGAATGAGGTAAAGAGAAAACAAGAGCAAGCAATGTAGCTCATACTTTTATAAAGTTTTGTGTTCTAAAAATTGCTGGGCAAGCAGTGAAGGTGAAGTCATGTAACGACAATCCAATTCTAATATTTATTTGAAATTAGTGAAATTAGACATTGAAAGCAGTAAGCCTGCAATTAATTAGTATAAAGTAAAATAACTTGATTTTTTTTACTGTATGTTTAAAGAGCTGTGGTTTGTTTTGTGATAGGGTCCAGACCATCAGACAGTGCTATTTAATCATGGAGCAGTGCAGAATATTGCTCACCTCTTAACCTCTGCATCTTATAAAGTAAGCAAGTAATATAATTTATTTTCTATAAACTAAGCTACTATTTTAAAAACTTGGTGCAATGTTATTGGCAGAATAATAAGTTAACATAGCTCTTTTCTGCTAAAAAAGGAAGTGCGCATTTTTTTCAGTTTAGGCTTGGATGTATCTGTATAGATGTGAAAGAGATCTTATTTCTTGTAAAATAGTGTTAAAAGAGTAAGCTTCATATTTTTTATAAAGGATTTTTTTCCTGATGTGCATACATGTACTAAGTACATATATGTACTAAGACAACAATTACGTTTGGAAGAAAATACTATTAAGAGAGTTGCAAAATGATAGAATTAATATTTACAGGTGGCTTTAATATCTTTTTGTTGTTTGGAGTATTAAAAAAGTATTAAGTTAAACCTGAAATCTCTGAGTAGATAAAGAACTATAATTATATTTATCTATAATTGCATTATTTATAATATTAACTATTACAATATTTAAAGAGGACAGAAAACAAACATTTTATCACAAAATTTGTTGGGACTCTATAGAAAAGGAATTTGATCTATGTATTTTTGAATAACCACTTTTCCCAAATTAATATCCATGAAAACAAATTGTAGTCACTTTAGAAAACACACAAGGATTTGGCCAATAATTCATGTCCCATTGGAAAATTTGTTTTTACTTTTGATAACTACCCTTTAGTCTTTTAAATTTTTAAGATTTTTTGATATGTTTTAAAATGGCATTTTTACTTGACTTCTAATAGTTCTTAAAATACTTTAATTGTAATTAATGTAAATGCTGTATATTTATTCAGGTTCGAATGCAAGCACTGAAATGTTTTGCAGTTCTAGCCTTTGAAAACCCCCAGATATCAATGACTCTTGTAAATGGTAAGTTTCTGAGGTCAGTATGGCTACTCATTAAATAATTACAGTTAAATTGTTTCTTGAAACACATTTTCTCTTTGTTTTTCAGTGTTGGTCGATGGAGAACTATTGCCACAGATATTTGTAAAAATGTTACAAAGAGACAAGCCGATTGAAATGCAACTCACATCAGCCAAATGGTAAACTCTAGGATGTAGGAAACATGCTAAATGATAAATTCTGTTTTATAATATTAATGTTCCAATTTAATCAAGAGTGCATCATATCAACCCCAAGAAAATAATATCAGACTCTTAATATCTCAATCACCAGCATTAATTGTAGGCAATTTAATAGTATTAATGGTAAGCAATCCTTTTAGGACAATGAGTACATTTGGACTTGCAGACATTTGGGAGGCATTTTCACAAAATAACCATGTTAGCTATGATCAATCATAAAACAGACATTTACTAGGAGGAGGACTGTGTGTTTTCTCATTATCCAACCAATTTTTAATCAACTCAGCATACATTTGTCTTGTATTTAGGAAGGTAGTTGCATTTCAAAATAAACCACAGAGCTGCAGCCAGCCACAATTTAACCTCTACTTTAATTTACTAAGAACCTTCTCCAAGTTATGTGTGTTTGATTCTTTAATACTGATTTATTGAATTATAGAAAGAATTCTGTAACTTGGTTTATAGTGTCCCATCATAACTAAGTCTGGATTAATTCAAATTAATTAAATTTATACTGCTTTAATTAATTAAATTTATTAAAATTTAATTAATTAATTTAATTAATTAAATTAATTTCAAATTAATTAAATTTATACTGCTACATTTCCACACAGGTTTATAGTGGTGTATAATAAATAGCACAAATAGATGTTGCATTTGCATTGAATGAGGTCCATTTCTGAGTAATTATCAAAACATACACAGTCCTAATGCTTTCCATGCTTTAGGTCTTAGTTTTTAGTGTCCGTAGTTGTCATTTAAAGAATAATGAACAGAAACAATACAGAACTGAGGACAACAGATGATACTCAAAATACATAACATATTGGTACTGTTGCCATTGAACAAATTTTAAATTTAATAAAATCAAAAGTGTGTATATATATATATATATATATATATATATATATATATATATAAAATATTGAACTCAGTAATCATGCTACTTTGATGTTTCATTGTAGCCTTACATACATGTGCAGAGCTGGAGCAATCTGTACAGATGATACCTGCATTGTGTTAAAGGTAGGTGGTGAATCATATTAATTGTACTTAAAACAGGTACCTCAAAAACAATGTAATGACTTTATTGCTAAAACAGGATGTTTAGTAAAGAGTAAATAATACAACTGTTCCTATTTAATTTTATTAGCAACATTGTTTTTATTGTATGGTTTCTATACCACCTTATGTTGGTATTCAGTAATACTAAATTATTCTGTCTTTTAAATCATGATGAAGTTATGTAAGTCTAATACATTTTGTTAAGTGAAATTTGGTCTCATTGCTTAATCTGTGCAAATGTTATAGTTGCATATAGTTGAATTTGTGATCATATAGCAATATAAATATTGATTAATAAACAAGTGTATATCAGTAGTTGCTTTAAATTTTACTTTTGTACAAATACATACTAGGTTTGATGACATATTTGATTAGTAAATGCCTGTTAAAACATCTATATTTAGTGACAAATTTAACAGAAATTTATATAAGAAATATGTAAACAATTAGTCAAAAAACTAATTTCAGATGTTGTAATTTCCAGACATTACCATGTTTGGCACGGATGTGTAGTAAAGAGAGACTACTAGAGGAGAGAGTAGATGGAGCAGAAACTCTGGCCTATTTGATTGAAACAGATATTGAACTACAGAGAATTGCCAGTATTACTGACCACCTTATTGCAATGCTTGCAGACTACTTCAAATACCCTAGTTCAGTGAGTGCCATCACTGATATAAAAAGGGTAGGTTTATTATGAATTAAGTAGGTATTACAAGTGTGTTTCTGTGTGCATGAGAGGAGGGGAGAGAATGAAAGGTTGGGTTAATAAATTTACTGTATATTTATATATAGAATCATTGTTTATAAACTCAAATGAAAATCTGACAGAATCTTCAGCAGAGACAATATGTGAATTAGTTTTTAGTTGTGCCTGAAATTTCTTTGGTCCTGACTTTGTATGAATGAAATAAACTAGATGGGTTTTTAATAAGCTATACTAAACAGTTAACATAATTACTATAGTTTCTTGTATTTGATTCTGTCTGAAGATGGGATTGAAATTCTGTATGTGAGAGGTAAACGAAGAGATATTAGTTATGTCAACAATTAACAACTGCTCAACTTCATGACAGTGAAGTGTAGGACGAGTAAAAGATGGGAAATGCAACCATTTTAAATTGATTTAGGGATAAGGGGGAACTACATTTGCACATTTATAAAAGATAATCAGATGCATAATATGATTTCAGTGCCAACTTTCAATCTACTAGTCTGCCAGCTCTGTAGTAGATAGAAATTGGAGATTTGCAGCTTAACATTGGCTCACAGAATATGATACAGTAAAAATGTCCCCATTATTGTTTTAGCCCATTTAGACTATCTACTCCAAAATTGTTTAATGCATTGATTTTTAGTGATGAGTTAAACATTGCAGATAATATTCTTGTTTAATCTTGAATGGGATACAAATTTACAAAGCAAGGTGTAATATAGATGTAGGGAACATTTTTGCATACTCTCCCAAATCATTTCCTTATCTTCCATCTCTTCACAAAGATAGTGAAGAGTTTCAATTTAACCAATTTTTTATATAGCTGTAATGGTGGGAACATCTTAATATCATAGCAAACACTTCTGATTATACTCATAATGTACAGCTAAAAAATTGTTTTAGGGATTGGCTGCTGTTATACAAAATAATATACAATTCTGTAATGTTTTATGCAGTCATCCTCTTTGTTTTTGTCTTGCTTCATCTTGTGTCCTGTCCTACAGAGATTCTAAGTTTAAATTGACTCAAGTTGACTGGTTGTGAAAGTGGGCTTAACCCTGTTTAGTATTTTTCTAATATTAGCAATAGAAAACCCCAGGATTGTAGGCTAAACAGGAAAGCTGAAAAAAGTCCTGGATAAAAAAGACAACAACAAACAGGTTCTATATGTTTTTCAATAGCAATAGCACTTAGACTTATATACCGCTTTATTGTGCTTTATAGCCCTCTCTAAGCAGTTTTACAGAGTCAGCATATTGCCCCCAACAATCTGGGTCCTCATTTTACCCACCTCGGAAGGATGGAAGGCCGAGTCAACCTTGAGGCTGGTGGGATTTGAACAGCCGATAGTCAGCAGAAATGGCCTGCACTCTAACCACTGTGCCACCCTGGCTCTATAATAATAATAAAAAGCAAACTCTTTCTATTTTGTTTCAAGATAATGCAATCACAAGGATTTGAGCTCAACTTAAGGGAATTGTTAAAATTTATAAGATTTCAATTATTATCATTGAGAAGAACAGAAATGAAGTTCTACACAAGATACAGAATAAAGTGCCAGTTGGAAATTCTTAAAGTGCTTCCTAATCTAAACTCAGACAATATCACTCAACACTCAGATGGTATCACTAAATGATAGTTATGAAATATGTCTTAAACTTCCATTCAGAACTCAGAATATATACAGTTTGATCAACATCCATGAGTTTGCAATTTAAAAAATAATGTGAATTTAATTATCTTTAATAGCTTGACCATGACTTAAAACATGCTCATGAATTGCGCCAGGCTGCATTCAAGCTCTATGCTGCCCTTGGAGCAAATGATGAAGATATTCGAAAGAAGGTAAGTCTATCAGGTAGTTTCCAATACCTCAAAGTCAGGAACACAACCTTGTCATTGAAGTATATGTTTTGCTTATCATTAGTTTCAATAAAATAATATTTTGTAATGAAATAAGATATCTGGAGAAAGTGTTGTAGTTTCCTAGTTAAAAACATTATGGTTTAATTGAAATGCAGAAAACTATATAATTTTGACAATGCCTCTTAATAGACACAAGAAATATTCTTTTTGTACAATAAATACAATGTAGAACCGTAATATAACAATATGCTTCATTGTCATAATATGACATAAGCATGAAATTTCTTTTTAAAATGTGAAATTCAACTTTTTTTGAATTACGCTAAAATAAATTTATGGCATTAAAATAAACATAATAAATACTTCTTTTTGTTCTGTAAAATCCAACAGCATTTTTGATAACTTTCTTTCAGATAATTGAAACCGAAAATATGATGGATCGGATTGTAAATGGCTTATCTGAGTCTAGCATCAAAGTGCGCTTAGCTGCAGTCAGGTATAAATTTACCTAGCGGGATTAATCTTACATTTCATATGTTCAGACTGACAGTTGTTCACTTCCTTTATTAGGACATACAATGAACTTAAATTATTTGAAAATTATGAATTATCTTTAGCAGTAATTGTAGTATGATGAAACAGAATCTGAACTCTCAGTTTTTAGTTCAGTTTCTGAAAATGCTTACATGCAAAGCCATCTCTATGGAAAGGAAGTATTTTAGAGCTTATACCTCATTTTTCTGAGCAGATGTTTGCACAGTTTGTCAAGATCTGTACAGCAACTACGAACAAGTTTCCAAGATCATGCTGTATGGAAACCCTTAATGAAGGTAAGCACATTGGGAGATTGTTGTGGTATAAAGTGGTCTGACAATATTATCCAGGTAGTCCTCAACTTATGACCACAATTGAGCCCATAATTTACATTGCTAAGCAAGACAGCTGTTAAGTGAGGTTTGCCCATTTTATGATCTTTCTTACAAGAGTTGTTAAATGAATCACTGCAGTTAAGTTACTAACATGGTTAAGTGAGTCTGGCTTCCCCATCGACTTTCCTTTTTCGAAGTCACAAAAGGTGATCCCAGAATACTGCAACCATTATAATAAATACATGCCAGTTGACAAAGCATCTGAATTTTGATCACATGACCTTGGAAATGCTGCAATGGTTGTAAGTGTGAAAAAAGTCATAAGTCACTTTTTCAGTGCTGTTGTAACTTCAAATGATCACTAAACGAATGGTTGTAAGTTGAGTACTATTTGTACAGTTTTAAGGCTGTTAAAGACAAATTTGTACTGAGATATATTTCTAATGATTCATTTCAATTAATCTAAAATATGATATTGCTAAGATCTAGAAATAATTAAATATAATGGATTAGAATTAAAGTGTGTGGCTGAATATAAAGTGGTTTTCAAGTAATGTAGTAAGTTTATACTTCTAATTAAAAAATACTGTTTCAGTTTAGGTTCTTCTGTCAATGACAGCAGAATGCTTATCTTGCTAAATATGGTTTTTAAAAAGTAATTGTCCTACCCTCATTTTTATAAACCTGATATTTTGAAGCAGATATTTCATTACACAGGATGTACTTGAAGTGCATATGGGAAAATATTAAAGTGCTTGTAAAGCTGTTTCATATGGTAAATGCTTTTTTAAAACTGGTGATTTTTCCAGTTTCAATCCTTATTCATTTATATATACTGTAAACTATTCAGAAAGCACAAGGGATGTTTGTAGTATTCTCTGAAACTTTATAGAAAATGATTTTTCATTGTATTTTTTCACTAGTAAAAGACAGAATAGTAACTCAAAAGTCTTGAGTAATTTCTACCAAGGCTAGATGATATATCCTGTTATAAGAAATGGAGTATTATGTCATTAAGCATTTTAAAGAAGGAAGACATGTTTCCTCTTCTTTTCATGGTTAAGTATAAACAGCTGACATGTCAGTTAGAATTCTTTTGAAATTGGAAAAGATTAACTGCAAAAAACATGTTGGTACTATTTAATTTCCAAATGTTAATAAAGGAAGCTGGAGTTCAAGTTCTGCATCTACAAAAGTACCAAGGCAAATGTATATGTACCAGTCCCTGAATTATTCTAAATTCTTGAAAAGGAATACTTATGATGAAATTACTTTTTCTTTCTTTTTTTAGGTATTACAGAATGCTCCAGATGAAATTTTAGTGGTAGCATCTTCTACTCTATGCAATCTTCTCTTAGAATTTTCTCCAAGCAAAGAGGTTGGTTGTTTGGACTTTTAAAACCGTAAAAGTAGATCTTTGATTTTTTGCATAAAATGTAATGTGAATATGTACCGAGATAATGAGGCTGAAGTCCTGTTTCTGGTCTTTCTCAGCAGTCACATAAAAACAGTTTTTCTCTTAAAACAGGCAAATTGTTACTTTGAGTAAAGAAATCAGGCTGTTAGTGTTTACTAACAAAGCATAAACAGACAATAGAAGCAGATGTATCATAACAAATGATCAGAGAAAAAAGGTTGAGATAAAATTTCCCAGAATAAAAAGTAATTAAAGATGAAATAATGTTCCCTTCAGAAGTTGGAAAGAAATAAGATCAAAGATTTTTAAAAAGTATATTAGTAAAAACAGAGTCCTTGTAGTAAAATCCTGTAAACATAAATCAAATAGCTTTCATTACACAGGATGAATTTTGTTACCGCTGATTTCTTTATAGCAAAGGTAAAAATAATTTAGAATTCTAAAGTAAACAATGAGAAAATGAAAATAACTTTATGTTAAAATCCAGCAAGGAGTTATATGAGTCAGCGTTCAACCAGTTGATTAATGTATAAATAAAAAGGGAAAAAACATTTAAAACATGCAGTTAAAACCAAGGTGTGCTTAAAAATACAAACAGCTGAAAGGAAAAAATGAAAGACCGAACCCTCCAATAGGTTCTACTGAGAATTGCAGCCATCAAGATCCCTCATCTTAGAAGGTACACAATCCTCCAAGGGTCGTCTTGGGTTGTTACTGGTGGTTGCTCCCATTCAAATCTGGGAAGCCACCAATAGCCAGCTTTGGTGGCATAATCAGCTGTTTTTCAGCAAGTAGGAAAAAACACCCCGCTGCTCAGCACGCCATCTTGGGAGCAAAATACGATTATATGGGATGGAGTAGTCAACAGCTACCTTGGGTAGGAGAACCTGATAGAACATACTGGAAAATCAAAAGATTGGGTGAAATATTTATGGCATTTGAACTGAGTATACTACACTGTCTGAGCTTATAACAACATAAAATGTGTGAAGAAAGAAGATGTGAAAGCTTAGATGTGTATTCTGGATTTTTTTTAAAGTATCTTGTTTTTTGTTTAAGAGCAGATTTAATGTACAAAAACAAAATGAAAGAATATATATGAAATTAGGATGTTACTGAAATTTCTTAACTGGTTCTGCTTTTGTTATATGTAGCCTATCTTAGAATCAGGAGCCATAGAACTTCTCTGTAGTTTAACTCAGAGTGACAATCTTGCCTTGCGAGTGAATGGAGTTTGGGCTTTAATGGTAAGCATCAATGTTAATCTGCTAGTTTTATGTATGCATCTCCAATTTTAGATTTTATTTCTTTATTAAATTTGTATACTATCAAATCATCTGAGATCTAGAATGCTTTCAAGGATGGGAAATCAAAACAAAATCTCAACTGCTAAGAAATGTTTCTTGTAGCAGATGATACATAGTGTAATGGAGTTGGGTCCTTTGTGGAAAATGTTGAAATTATTCAGAATAAGATTAATTCGGTTCTTCTTTTTAGAATATGGCATTTCAAGCAGAACAGAAGATCAAAGCAGACATTTTGCGAGGCTTGAGTACAGAGCAGTTATTCCAGTTACTCTCTGATTCTGATGTAAATGTACTAATGAAGACTTTGGGATTACTTCGGAACCTTTTGTCTACTCGCCCTGTAAGTAAAAAAGTGGATTTTCAAAATGAATATCTTCAAAATGAATATTTTGAAGATTAATTTGCAGGTCTTGTGAATTTCTTATTATTTATCATTACATATTGGGAGGTGATATTCCAGAACTTCATATCAACTTTATTAAGCTGTTGCTTGTCTAATTTACAGAACAAACATTCTGTAGAAATGACAAAGCAGAGTTCTTTTTGAACTCTTGTTGCTACAAATTATAAGTTTTGGGACTTGAGAGCTTTCTCTCTGAAAACCAGAACATCTATTTTTTACATTGCATAAAACATGTTGCAGATCAAGGAGTAATAAATACAACAGTGTTTTATTTTAAAGGAAAACTAGTCTAAATGCATTGCTCAGTATTTGTAATGGAAACAA